TTCATCTCATTAATTCTTTGGCTCCTTTATTCTTCCATCAACATTTTATCATCAAAACGACTTTTTTAAAAAAAAAATAGTATTTTTAATACATTATATAATTTTAGATGATATTTGATTTATTAAATAATAATTCAAATATATATATATATATATATATATATATATATATATATATATATATATATATATATATATATATATATATATATGTTTGTGTGTGTGTTAGAGATAGTCGTTTGAATTGAAACTAATCAATATCACAATATTATAAATAACTACATTTAAATTTGAATATAAACTCTAAAATTTATTTAATTTGACTCAAATTTAATAAATTTAACTCAAAAATAGTTTTAAATATAATATAAATTATTATATGGTATTCGTAAACTTTTCTAATTCAAACTTTTTAAATTAATTCGAATCAGTCGAACACTCAAACTTAATCTTATATCAAATGATCCCGAATTATACCATTAATAATTTATATAGTGGATTTTCATATCGTTGTGCCAATGAAACATTATTTAAAACTAAATCTACTCATTATATTTGCTGTATTTTTTCTTCCAAAAAACAAAAAATAAAAGAAACGAACCCCCTTTTCCCTCTATTTTCACATTTATTTAATGTTTGCAAATGTAATTGGTTGACATGCAGCCGTACCAAAAACTACACCCATGCATATGGTCCAAAAGTAAACACAGGGTTATTATAGCTTTCAAGGATTTCGAGCTACTCCTATTTGTATTTAATGTATTATCATTACATAAATTTACACGATATTAATTTATCGTATGAGACAACACATTAATAAACAAATATAAAAGTTTTACAGCTCTTAACATTAAATGCATCTATAACATCAAATATATATCCATAAAAAATCTCTCGAAATGGAGTCCACTTTAATTATTTAAAATCTGTATTTTGAATTAGAAAATGTTTATTGAGGATTTTAAAATTTTAAAGTCAATAATTAAAAAATAATCAATTTGAGGACAGATAGAAATTTCAAAAATAGACAAATACCAACCTCACAAAATAATTTAATATGTAATTTGCTTATATATATTTATAAGATCTCATGTGGGTCTCTCCCCTATCTGATTAATATCCAAATCCAACTTCTAAACAATTCAAATATATATATATATATATATATATATATATATATATATATATATATATTTTGAAATTTTCCCAACAAACATGATTATTATGAGCTATATAATTTAATTATTGAAAAAAAAAACAAACGTTGGAGAGGAAAACCCCCAGATTTGCATGTAATAATCTTTGGGCTAATTAGACAAAGGTTGAATTTTGATGTTCAATAGGTAGCCCAATATACTAATAATATGGGCTAACAATTATCGTCAAGTAGTCTATTCCTAATCCATATTTTATCCATTTTAATGATATTACTAATAATGTGGAGAAATAGGTAGCCTAGCGCAAACAAACTTACTTTAGTGGTTAAAGAAATATTTGTTGTTTTTAGAGGTTATAGGTTCGAGTACCAGTGACTACAGCAAGGTGATTGAGCGTTCATTATTAGATGGTTAAAAGTATTTGAAATAAATATTATTTTATAATCATCTTAGCTTAATAAAAAAAATAGCAACTCACCCATATCTTTCTTTCTTGTTTAGTTCTTTCTCTCTCCAAGAAGCTTTTGTCTCTGATTCGTCATCAGTCAACTGTTCGTGGTGTGCACCGTCCGCATCAATGTGTTCCTTGTGGTGTTTCGAGTTGATCGTTATTAAGGTGTGTTTTGAGTCGATCGTTATTAAAGTAGTCATCATCATCGTTGCCGTGGAGAGGGGTAAGGAGATAGAGGTTTCAACTATGGTAAAAAGTTGCACTCTGTCGTAAACCAACAACAATAAGAGACTCCCTGACCCCTAAAAATCATTTCTGCAAAGTTTGAGATTTTTCTGGTCACTAACATCGCCGGACACACCTTATGCACCGCTTCATATGCGTAGGGGTTGTTTTCCATTTCGAAGTTTCTAGAAATCGGTCTGAATCAATCTAGACCGTTCGAACTGATCCAGACTGCCTGAACTGAGGCAATCTACGCTTGAACTCAGGCAAACCAAGCCTATTCAAGTTGAGCCGCACCTAGTCGAGGTAAGCTACACTAGGGTAAGTCATTGATCGTCGTTGACTATTGATCGTTGATCAGTCGTTGACCGACCAACCATTGATTGATGTTGACTTTGACCGTTGACTTTTTCCAAAAAAAAATATTTCAGGTTTTTCGACTTCTTGAGTCTATTTTTCGATATTTGACCTTTTAATTGATCCACTTTTCACGTTTAAGTTTTTTTGTGTGATGTGAATTGTGTTTCCTTATGTCTGAGATGTTGATGGAAGTTAAAATTGGGGTCAAGAGCGATCAAAGAGAGTTTTAAAGGTCGGTCAATCTAGCCCAGAGTTGAGGTAATACTTTACTACTGTTTATGCATATTATATGGTATATGTTGATAATTGGTTAATACAAAATAAATACGATTTGGACATGTGTTTACGACTGATTATTTTAAACTCATACGGATTTCGATAAAATGATAATAAACTAATTATGACTCGTATACGAAATTAAATGACTGATAGGAATTTCAAAGTTCAGTTATTATTGATAAAGTAATTAACCTATAAATCCTTCAATACATATTATTTCTATTAAAAAGATTAAATGCCTGAAATATTATGATTGGAAATGACAAAATTACCCTTAAGGTGTAAAAGGGACATGAGTTGATCTTGATAGTGGAAATTATCTGAAAATTCATAGTTGCCCAGATAGAACCACTAATTCACCTGTTTATATTCCTAATCTGTTTGGAAAATCCTAATAACCAAATTTTAACCTTCGAGATCGTAAAATACTCAGATTTTATAGCTTCTGAATAAACAACTAAAGACTAATTTATCGAAAGTAATTTATATGAATGAATTAAATAAAATGATCAATATACCCTTGAGTTTGAAATGAATTCAATACCATTATTACTTGGATTAAGTGAACGCTTTTAGATAAATTCAGAAAATATCAATGAACTTAAATGTTTGCTTCACCCTTAAAGGTTATGGAGCACAACCCAAGTATGTCAGTCATTAGAAATTTTGAATATTGCAAATCACCATGTATCCTTATCAAGTCGTTTATCGAAATTTCTCTTGGGTCAAAATTACTAAAATACTCTTATAAGCTAATATGATAAGATCACATATATTCGAATTCTAATTGATCCCGACGTAACAATTCTCGAACGCTTGGGTAAGCCGTTAGTTATCAAACTCCATTCTTAATAGGAATCTCATTTCTTAAAAGCAGTCAAAACTTGATAGAAGTTTTGTGTTCCCTTTCTCATAACTATCAAATACCTCCAAAAAATAAATTGAACCCTCTAATGCGTTCATGAGGTTGTTACATTATCATTTTGATTTACTTATTTGAATTACTTTGAATTCACTAAATTCATTTGATGGCACGATCTTTGGTTACCGTGAACATGTTTTTGGATTAGCGAATAGGTTTCTGATTTAATAAATTACATCACTGATTATTTTCAAACACGTGCAGTTTTACAATCGTCAAGGGAGGAGTTATTACGGGAGGAACTATTTCAGGCTTAGTCTTTAATTTGTAAGTAATTACTACAGGCTCTTTTTCTCTCTGCATACGGTAAGGTCTTACTATAAGTTTTTATGCTATATGCAGAAGGTCCTTACCATGTGTACAAGTGGGTGTATGGTTTAGGAAAACCTATACGATTTGGTGTTTGGATAGAGAGTAGTTAGGTGATTTTAAATTAAATTTTACTATCTCTTTAAAAATATATTTTACTAAAAAAATTATTAATGTTTGAAATTATACGTACATTTTTCTTCGCACCGGTGGAACATACTAGATTCTTCAACTCAATCTCCATAATCTATCTTTTTCTGATTCTTCCATTCTATAGATTTTTCGACTTTATCTTAAGGATCAACCAATGATCTCAGAATCATAATTGAAACTCGTAGATGCATGAATCATCCTGAAATTTTATGCTATGCCATATATCTGATTATGACCTATAACACCATCTGGTAGTTTTGTATTACCGAGTGTTTCCCAATATTCATTCTATTACTTACCATTTCATGTTAAAAAAATTGATAATGTAGTTAATGATGCATGGAAGACACTTTTTTCTTATTAGAGTCTAAAATTTGTTTTGATAATGTGTATTATTGAATTTTGTTTTAATTTTTTACAATTTCTGAAAATATATTTATTTTAAAATTGTTTTATGATTTTAACATGGCGAAAATTTTATGTTTCTCAGATTTTTATTGTAGGTTACTCTTGTGACCTTAATGTGACAACCTTAGAATAGATCGGATCATTCGCATTGGTTTGAGGGCATTACAATGTTCTTCATCTTCACCAATAAGTTCCCTCTGTGTTGCAATTATCCTCGTCAATTATGCATGGTGAGATGACTGTAAGGGAAAACCAGGCTGATATTAAACTAGACCCTGAGATTTATGCTTTCAAGCTATTGTCATGGCTGACCAAAACATTAGTCAGGTTATTGATTATGTGCTCAAGTTTTTTCCACTGTTTTACTGCTTAATCGGCGAGGATAATTGCAACAGAGAGAAAGCGTGTTGGCGGAGATGAATAGGTTGAAGACATTAGGTTCTTCAGCCAACATCTTAAAGACGATAAGTTCTCCGACTGAATTCTCATCACTATTCATTTCACCTCATTTGAGAAAATAATTTTTTTCAAACCTTTATTTTAGTATTTTTGTCGTTTTAATGATAAATGAGATTACTATATATTCCTTCTAAGAGACTCAAATTTGAACAAATATTTAAAAATGATACATGATAAAAGGTTTTAGACTAACATAGATTCCAAGTTACAAACCAGAAAAGTACAGCTTGTAAAGAAAATAGAAGATTCAAAACTACCCACACCAAACAAAACAAAACAAAAATCAAAATTTACATTCAACAATAATAACCAATCATCTAATTATAAATTATACAGCTTTTCAATTTATTCCTAGCTCTACATTGTGCCCTTCTCCGCGTAACTATTAACCAAAGCCAAGGCATTGCTCGTCAGCTTCTTCACTTTGGCCGCTCTCTTGACCACCTCTATCTTCATTGCTCCCTCCGCCACATCCTCCAACCCGTCCGTGCACGTCTCCTCGTCCGTCAAAGCCGCGCTCATCCACGTCTGCACATTCCCCATCTGGAACCTGAAAGACTCCGACCCCGGCGCCACCGTCTGCCTCATTTGCTTCAGCGATCCACGTATTTCATCCACCGCATCCCCCATGTTGGAGTAACAGTCATGCAAGGCTGCGCTGGTTCGTGTGTCGGCACCGTAATCAGCTTCGCGGGAGATCTTGGAGACGTAAACTGCGAGGTTACGGGCTTTAGAGAGGGTGACACCAATGGCGGCACGAGCGAGACGAGCTGGGTTTTGTTGGATGGCGTTGGAGTATCGAGAAAGGGAAGAATAGCAAACGTCGGGATACAAGGTAGCGGAGCAGCTTCTGCGGATGAAATTGGCGGGGTTGACGGCGGCGGTAGCTTCGTATACGGCGTAACTGAGGGTGGGAACTGGGTAGAGATGGAAGAAGAGGAAGAAAAAGAAGAAGGGTTTCATGGCGGAGGTTTTAGTGTTTTACAAGGAGGAGACTTTTCACTTTTGAGAATTGGAGCTGGAGACTTGGAGGTGGTGGGTTATGTAGTATCTTTGGCTAGAGGTTGATTTACTATTTTACCCATGATTATTTATGGATTAACAAAAATGCCACTGTTCTTTTTTTCTTCATTGTTTCCCACCTTACCACGAAATTAAAAACGTCATGGAAAACATGCAATGGTAAATATAAATAAATACGTGTGTGTGTTTTATTAACGTTTTTAATGTTTAAAAGCTTGTTACAATTATATTAAAACAAATTAAAAAGAGAAACTTCACATTTTGAGCTGTGGCGAATGTTGAGAATAATGTGAAAGAGTCTACTTAAAGTTTTTTTAAAATTTTATACGCCTAAATTTGAATTTTTGAAGTATTTAATATATATTTTTTAAAAAAATTAGGGGTTTAACTTTTTTTTTAAAAGGAGAAAATTTAGTTAAAATGTTTTTAGTATTTTAATATAATATTACATTATAAAAGTTATAGAAAATTTAAAACTTTTAATTTGGGACATTCTTAAAATAGTTAACAAAATGGAAATTGAAGACTTTGTCCTTAAAATTACTTTCCGCATTGAGTTTTAGGAAAAGAATTAGTAGTTAAAAGACTTTACACACTTCGAACTTTTCCTTTTCCACACTGTTGCGAGAAGCCCTTCAAACATTATTTTCTTATTATGTATCACAAATATGGAGCCATATGATAAGATATATAAATATGTTAAGACTTCATCTATATATATATATATATATATATATATATATTTAGAGTTGTTAAAAAAAAACCCTAGATGCTATCTTTTCTTTCTTTCCTGTTGTCTTCTTAGTAACTTTTCTATATTCTTTTACTGTTTGTTGACAGTAACATTAATCTTGAATTAACCATCCATATAATATCAGTTAAGCTATTTCTAATTTACTTAGTCCTCTTCTTTTTCTATAAAAAAAAATAGTTTTGTTCTTTGTTAAAATCAATTAATCTTACATGCGGAAGCAATTAACACATAAGGATCTTGATGGGATAATTAAATCAACCAAATCAAGCTCCTGACATAATTATTAAGAATTACAGTAAAATAAATGAAAACTTACTTGATTATTCCATTATAATAGTTGAATATCCCAAAAACAATAAATAATAAATGTTATTCAATCCCAATACTATATAATCCTCAATTCGCCTTGTGATGATATCAAGACTTGTTTGATTCTTAATGAAAGAATCAAAATCCCAAAACAAAGTGTTCTTGTTTTCTTTTTAAGAGAGAAAAAACTGTCTTCTGCGTGTTAAAAAACTGATTCCACTATATTTTTTAAATCACAAAATAACTGAAAGGCCAAAATAACCGAAAGGTCCCTCTAGTTTTCATTTACACATAACACCATTCAAACTTATATTTTCACAGTAGGACGGAGGGATTTACACCTGATAATTGCCACCTCAATACTACACTAATCATCATCGTGTGTACAACAACAACAATTATCAATAACTTAAATTATGTAAATCAATATTAAAAATCAAAATTATTAACATTCTCCCACTTGATTCATATATGACAAGTATATAACATATTAACATAATTTGAGCTCACTTAAATAATGTATTATACATGTCACAGCTTCGTAAGAACTAAATCAACCGAATCATGGCGGTCACAGGCTTGGTAAACGACTTGATTCCTTCCATGTATTATAGGTCAATCCAATTCAAACATACACAATTTAAAACACCTGAAAATATCTTATCCGATATTGCCTTAAAATAAGATCCAACATCTATAATCATAACAAAATATTCATAACTAAAACATGATTCATAGATAAGTAAAATCCAAACAAACATCGATATCTAGAGTATCAAACAAACATAAATGTGCAAGACATACATTCATACATTCATACATGTATGACTAATCATCCGCTATACAAGGACTTCGCAACTACTCTCATTTCACTAACATGCCCAATAAATGTCTTAGGAGTTATTCCTTTAGTCAACATATCCGCAATCATATCATTGGTGCGAATGTGCACTATTTGAACTCTTTGATTTTGCATTTATTCTTTGACATATAGATACTTTAAATTCATATGTTTGGCACCCTTAGAGTATCTATCGTTCTTAAAGAAGAATACAACTATCGTATTATCACAATAAACCTTCATTGGTTTAGTAATGGTACCAACGATGTCTAAACCATCAACAAAATTACGTAACCATAACGATTGAACTGTAGCTTCAAAGCATGCTAAATTCAGCCTCCATAGTGGAAGTAGCAATGACAGATTGCTTACTACTCTTCCATGAGACAGCTCCATCAACTAGAAGGAACACATAACTGAATATGGACTTCCAGGTATCTGAACATTCGTCATAGTTAGAGTTCGAGTAACCAACAACCTCAAGGTTACTAGTTCTTCTATATGTGAGCAAGTGGTCCTTAGTTCCTTGCAAGTATCTTAAGGTTACTAGTGTTAGAGTATGCCCAAAGACCAATCATATGATGATTGTAATAATACTTTTATTATTGTTAGAGTATGCCCAAAGACCAATCATATGATGATTGTAATAATACTTTTATTTACCGATTTTATTGAATAAAGGCATTGCCACTATTATTTTCATTTATATATATGTGTTTAACATAAACTAAAAGATAATAAAGTTCATATAATGACATAATTGTTATTATTAAAAGATCCCTAGTCAAGTATTATTATGGGCATGGACAATAATAATACGCTTAAGACTAACATGTTATTGATTGATGACAATGAGTTGTTATTGACATAGAGATGTCAGAATTGATACATGATTATATTGTTAGAGAACAATGTATTGGATTGACCGACCATGAGCATATGTCTTGGATTATTATGTGACAGTCATAACATTGCTCATGGTGATGACTATATGTATGATCCTCAGACTTGAGATCAATACTATCCCATCATATCTTGTTGTGTGTTTTGATGTAGCTAAACAAGCTCCGTAACTGGTTGCTTTATAAAGACTGTTATTGAATATATTTCAATATATGTAGTGGGTGTGTATGATTAAGATAGGATTTGTCCTTCCTACATAATAGGAAATATATCACAGGCCACTTGATTGAGTAAGACTAGAAACACATGGCCATGCTCGAATAAGTTGATATGAGATATCATAAACTATTCGTTAATTAAAGTCTACTCTAGATATCAAGAAACAATAGATGGGCTATACAAGTGTGACTATTCCAAGACTTGTGCCTATTCTAGATATAAAGGACATAAGGATGTAATACATAAAAGAGTAATCACCAAGATGATATGTCGAATCATATTTTCTTGTAACTTAAGTGACAATGATATATTGCTAGATGTCACTCATTGTATGTAATATTAGAATTGTTCTAATAATTACTGCTAACATTACAAGAACCTACAAGGTCACACCCTAGGATTGAAACGAGCAAAGATTTACAATTGTTGTACGTTACTAAAATATATATCTAGAGTTAATTAAATATATGTTTTAATAATCCTGAATATTTAATTTCAATTAATTAAATATATATTTAATTAATTTGAAATAATAAAATCCCTAATATGATTAGGGTAACTTGGATATAAGAGGATTATTAAATTCCAATTAATTAAATATAGATTTAATTAATTTGAAATAATAAAACCCTAATATGATTAGGGTAACTTGGCTATAAAAGGGTGTGTTAGGTCTAGTAGCCATTGTACAACACACACTCAAAACCTTCAGCCGTTTTCTCTCAAAAGAGTTTTAGGGAAAACAAAGATTGCTCTCAATCGGGTGAACTGAGTAGAGGCCGAGACGTGATTTCGCGGAGGCTTAAGATTCGAACCGATTTACACAACCAGTATTCACTGTTGTCCTTGTTGTTTTTCAAGGAACCCACTGTAAGTATTCTCTTCCTCCCGATTTCAGTTTTTCGTACTTGGATCGCTGGTGAGACCGTCGAGTTTTGTTTCCGCGGCGTCATGGGGTGCGCCGACGGTCCCAACAACTAGGTACCCTATTCAATATGTATGTGACAGTCTTCAATGCATACATCCACAATGAAACAGGTATAGAACTATCATTCATCATACTTCTCACCATTTCCATCACTGTACGATTACGCCTTTCCGCTACACCATTTTGATGTGGCAATCCGAGCATTCTATACTACGTACAAATGCCCTTAGACTCAAGGAATTTCTTAAATGGACCTGAAATTTGTCCAACTTTCGATGTCTTTCCATAATATTCACCACCTCTATCAGAACGTATTACCTTAACTTTTCTATTTAACTACCTTTCAACCTCTGTAATGAATATCTCAAGGATATCAAGTGATTGAGTTATTTCATACAATATATATATGTAATAGTACCTAGAGTAATCATCAAAGAAGATGATAAAATACTTCTCACCGCCCCAAGACGATACATCAAAAGGACCACAAATTTGCGTGTATATTAAATCAAGTAATCCGTTGCTCCTTGTGGTAGCCTGTTTTGATAAATGTTTGGTTTGCTTACCCTTAATTCAATCCACACAAGTACCATTCCAATCGGTAAAATCCAATTGAACAAAACTCCACTTTTAATTAGCCTCAAAATCCTTTTTTTAGATATATAACCTAGTCTTTTATGTCACAAGTGAGCAGAAGATTCATTGAGTGCATTCTTTTTCATACCAACATCATATTCAACATCAACATTAAACAGGGAATTAACAAAAATAGAATTTAGGTTGAAACAATATAAAGTATCCAACAATAAACCAGTACTACAAAGGTTTGTTCCACGATACAATTACAAACAACCATGTCCAATCCTAAAATCAAATCCTAAAACATCTAACTTAGAAACATAAACAAGATTTCTAGAGAAATCTAGAACTTATAGACACTTCTCTAGATCAAGGAAATAGTTCGTATCTAACACAATTATATATGTCCCTATACCTTCAATTCTAATCTTCATCATGTT